AGTCGCTTCAAACGGTTTTGGTTCAGCAACTTTAACGCGAGACACCCAGCATGGGGTGACTGTAAGATTGATAGTAGGGGAGAAATTACGAATGAATGGATTATGTTGCACGAATATATAGTTCTCAACCAAGAAGGAAGTAAACCAATAAAATCAAAAGGGTATGAGCCGACGTTGAATGACCTTAGGATGATAGAATAGAGTGTAAGGTACAGTATAAATGAAAGTGTGAACGCGGTAATAGTCACGCATGAGCATAGAAATGTGGATTGAAACAAGTTCATTATGGTGTTAGAGGGACACATCAGGAGGTCAGGTGTGCTGGGGGAAATTGCTGAGGTAGAGAGAGGGAAAAGGTGGAGTGAGGGAATAAAGTATGCATGTGAGAAAGTGTTAAGGAGAGGGAAAGGAAGAAGAATGTGTGCTGGTGGAATGGTAAACTGCAGGAGAGGAGAAAAATAATGAGGAGAGAAAATTATCAGGACAGGAGGGCACGTGGACAGAAAGTGGGGAATCAGAAACAACGTTACATAGAGGCTAGGCAGGAATAAAAACGGGAAATTGTTAGCGCGAAAAGAGAGGGTATAGATAGGATAGAGGAGAAGTAAAAGATAAAGGATGGAAGATAATGTGGAGAGTGAGTGGTGCAGGGAGAAAGTAACTATTGATGGCGAGCGATGATGAAGAGGGGAGGTTCTATAATATTATAAGGGTGGATAAGGCGCGAGATGGAACAGATGATGGAATGGTAGCGGCATGATTGGGATGAATGGATGGTGGAGAGGGTTAGGGATAAACAATTAGAATCAAAGCAATTGTGGTAATTGTGGAACAGCGTGAATAGAGAGAAGTAATGTAGGGATGTCTCAGGAAGGGAGTGTTTCTGAAGAAGTTGAAAAAATCATCGCCACTGATTCATTGCGGCTGGTGGCAAAATATTATCAATGGAAGCCAGTATAATTACAATGTGAGAATCGCTTAAATTTGTATACCAAATAACTCCTACACGCTTAAAACTTCAAATATTCGCACTATCATCGATTTCTTTTGACTCATCGTCCGATCACTCGCCCTTCTTTGTATTTATAAACACAGAGGCATCCAAAATCTGAAGGCCTTTCCTAAATAATGAACTCACCAACTGAGAAATATATGAAGATGTTTTAAAAAGTTCGTGTTATACATATTCCTTAATATAAATTCAATAAAAAAACAATGCTTTTTCTGGTCTTTTTCAATTTATTGTCTAACCGGTTTCGGCTTACGCCATCATCAGAACCATTAGTAATATAGATTAGATTTTAGCAACTTATTTTTCATTTTGTTGTTCATATAAACGGCTTCACAAACGTATACAAGTTAAAATTATAAATATAAACATATTAAAATTCACGTTAAAAGTTAAAATTTTCACATTAAAATATAAAACAAAAATACTATAAAACCCGGATTGACGGGCACAAATGTTCATTTATATTTATAATTTTAACTTGTATACCTTTGTGAAGCCGTTTAGATGAACAACAAAATGGAAAATAAGTTGCTAAAATCTAATCTATATTACTAATGTCTCTGATGATGGCGTAAGCCGAAACTGGTTAGACAATAAATTGAAAAAGACCAGAAAAAGTATTGCTTTTTATTGAATTTATATTATAGAAAATAACTGGTCAACATGGATCAAATTCCCTCATCTTATACATATTCCTCTTCAATCGCAGGATTATGTAGAAATAGCGAAACGAAACGTAACGCATTTAATTCAACAGACTTCATGGGTTGCAGCTCGTGCGCCTAAACATACATATGAACAATGCACCTACCCAAACTATATATTTAACGGATTAGAGAGAAAAATAAATTGAGGAAAAACTGACAAAACAACCGCTCGGTATGTATAAATCTCTGTATAAAAATCCCTAGTACAATCTTTTTTTGGAAAACCTTACAAATAATTCTGATACCAAGTACTTTATTTGAAAGCTAAATAAATTCATGAATCAATGTTATAAAACATCTGAAAACATAGTGTAAAATGGTCAATGAGCAAGAAGTGTTGAAGACAGAGCTTTCATGTTGGCAAATCGTCTATATACAATCTTTCAACGTCATACGAGACAAATCTACAGAGGCGAAGAAAAACAGATCCTAGAGATTTATCATTTAATGTGCTCGCCGTTTCGATACAAAGAATTATTGTACGGCAGCTTTTCTGGATATCTCACAGATTTTCGGTAGGGTGTGGCACGATGATTTGTTAGCGTGGATAACGCTCCTCTCCGCATTAAAAGGCTTCAGGGAAAACATATCTGGAGTAAAAGGCTCCAGCTGACACTCTTCTATAACAGACCATATTGGTTTAACGAAAAAAATTCATACCTCACAACTGAAAATAATCTGCTGTAGTATAATTATCCTGAAGATTATATGGATGTACGGAGATATATCCTAGATTGCGCTAAGGGTATATAGCCTAGGTATGCCCATTCGATTTGAAAGGCTCCCAGTAATAGACATATAATAAAACTCTAACTGATTCAATCTGAAGTGTTGGGGCAAATAGTAAATGCGTCCTGGTATATAAGAAATAAACTAATCCATGAACACTTGGACATTGCTACAGTTACAGACAACACAAACCATGCTTCACGTCATATGAAACGTTTCAAAAATTACCCTATGTGAGGCTCGGAACCTAACAGATCGCCCCAGTAGTAGAATAATAAAAAAAGTATACACTGCTGGGTATATTAGCACTATGTGTTATACGTATTGTTGTTTATTGTTATTATTATTTAACAGATACCATTAATAAAATAAAATCGTTGCCAGGCATTGGTAATACTTGGAATATACGAAAACGTGTCCATTAGGACTTCTACATCGTCTGTTTAGTTTTGCGTAGTTTTGGTCTTTGCATTTTTCATTGTGCCTTGTGTTACCATTTCTCTTGTCATTTCGTGTTCGTTCATTTTCCACCCATCTCAATCGGCATACCTTGCCGAAATTAACATTTGTTTCGTTATATTATACTTCTGGTACAAATCGTGGTTAAAAAGGATTCTCCATATACTATTTTTGGGCACTCTTCCATGTATATTACTGAGGATCTTTCTTTCAAAGTATGAGAGCATTTTTTCATCCTTTTTGGTTAAGCTTATTTATTGGTCTTATAATTATTTTATATAAACTTAATTTTTATATTTTTTTAGATATAATTTGATTTTAATTGATTTGATAGACCTTAATAACATTTATTTGTATAAGTACGAAGGCTTTCACGGCCGGGTGTGAATTGGTTTTGCCGTGCGTCTTTTAAGATAAGCTTTGAAGTTTCGGATGCCATGTTGCAATCTTCTTCAGAAACTGGTTCGAAGTCATAACATTTATTTGCATTTACTATTCGTCTTCTGATTTCCTTGGTGGTATTATTACTGTTGTCTATTAAGAATCTGAAATATATAAATTTATTTACACGTTCTATTTTCTTATTCGATTCCCATGTGTATTTCTATCATATCTCTTTTAATTGTTCGATGTTTCTTTGTGTTTCTTCCGTCTTCCTTGCGTTTGATATACGTACTCTTATTGAAACAATTATTTTTTATAGTGGTTTGAATCTATACTGGCGCCTCGGTAGCTTCTGCAGTTAATAATGTCAGTTGTGTGTCTCATATCTATCGTTATGTAGTTGTATGTGGTTGACATATTCATATTCATTGATGCTGCCAAATTTATGTCATTGTTCTCTTGGTGCAGGCTGTACTTTCTCGTGGTTGGTCTAAATTCCCACTTTGGTCTTCTTTGCATTCAATTCCTCGATTATGATTATTATATCATGCCTTGGGGATTGCTTGTTTGCTCCTCATAAAACATATCCTTTTCTAGTTCGTCTTTTTCCTTGAATGTGGCTTGACAAATGATTGTACTGTAGTTGAAAAACATTCTCTTTATTCGTAGTTTGCAGAATCTAGCGTTTATTGGTTCTAAGGCTACTCCGAAAGCATCTTGCTTTGTCTGGCAGCTATAACTCCTTTTGTTGTTGTGAAATGATTTCTAGCTTATACTTATCAAATGTATAGGTGCAATTTCCGTTTACCTGATCGTCTGCATAAAATCAGTCTTTTATCTCGGATTGTTTCATAAGATAGGGCTGTTATCCCTAGATGGGCGTTTATCCTCCTCTGTTTGTTGCATTACGTATATCCTATTGTACAAACAGAATTGCTCAAGATATGGCAGGATTTGTTGATATATCTTGGGTAGACTGTGGTCGTTTTTCAAAGTTTTAGTACAGATCATCGACCGGCACTCAAATGATAGTTAAACAAGTCTCTTCCTCTTCCTCATTCTTAGAGAAGGCCGTTACAGAAGTACCTGCTCAGTGGTCTTATCTCGTTCGGTAAGACTAACTTTGACCCATTTCTTTCCAACGATTAACTGCGTATCCTCTAGCATCCAATCATGTCCAGTGACGTTTCGACATCACAGCCGAAGTGCTGCGTCGCCTCTGGGTATCAATCGATCTCATTTCGCAAATGCTTGCTCTAAACTAGGAATAATATAATAAATTTTTATTATTATAGAAAATAAAAGTCTATTAGAATTTTTAATTCTTACAACATATTCAAAAATTAAAGATACTCAACTTTCACAATAATCATTATTATTGTAATTACTCCTTTCCATCTTTATATTTAGTTACAAAGTAATGAAACTATGTGTTTTTAGCAGATGGATAGATTTTATTTAGGCTCAACCGGTTTCAAATGCTAATCGCATTCATCATCAGGAGCATGCCACGTCATTAAATAATATTCTTAAAAACATATTTTGTGTTCTGCAGTTTATTGCATTGTCTTTATCGTATTTTGGATCTTCCGGATATCTTGTTATTGTTGTTAACTCTATCCATCTACTAAATACACATAGTTTTATTACTTTGTAACTTGGACAATAATGTTTATATCGATTATACTATTGCATATAAATTTGTGAAAATAATTTTATAATTTTTTAAGGTATTCGATTTGTTATGGAGTGATCCCCAATCGGTAAAGGGTAGCGCCCCGAATAAAATTCGTGGGGCCGGTTGTTATTTCGGACCGGATGTCACTCAAAACTTCCTAAAACGTTACAAATTGAAATTGTTAATTCGAAGTCACGAGTGCAAAGCGGATGGTTACGAAGTGATTCACAACGAAAAAGTGATCACGATATTTTCCGCATCCAATTACTACGAATTGGGATCGAACAAGGGGGCCTACGTGAAACTGGTAGGTTCGCATATGGACACGCATTACGTTCAATACACAGCAGCCACATCGAAAACGAAAAATTTGACCATTACGCAACGATTGGGCGTTATCGAACGATCGGCTTTACGAGAACTTAGAGGACATATTATTTCAAATAGGGAACGATTGGAATGCGAATTTAAAAAATATGATGTTAATCAAAGCGGTTAGTAGCTAAAGTTAAAAAAGGTGATAAGAAATGATATTTTCTATTTTTTTTTTAAGGTTTCATAACGATAAGCGAGTGGTGTTCGGCAATGTTAACAGCAACCGGATTATCATTACCATGGAGGATATTAAAGGATAAATTGGTTTTAGTGAACCCGGATTCTGAAAGGGTCCAATACGGGACGACGTTCGATTTTCTGGAAGAGGGCGACGTAAGTCCGTAATTAAGCGTTATCATTTTTTATTACCCGAAACGGGGACGTTGGCCGTAAAATCCACTTATATCTTTTTTTCTTACTGAAGGGTATAAAGCCTCTTTTTTCTGGAAAAGAGCCACTTGCGTTTTAAGACCAACCATAACTTACAGATTTTTCCATCATAAACTATTAAAACTAGAATTTATACTCAAAATTATGGTCATATTAATGTATATTATGCAATAAATCATGGTTTAATTACAAATTATAACAACTTTACCTTTTTTAGTCATATCAAACTACTCCAACCGTTTCTGACACTCTCTACAGAAATAAATCAAATTTAGAAGCTATTTTTAGGATAATAGACAAAGATGATTCAGGTATTGATAAAGAAAACAAATAATTAAATTAAAAAGAAGTAACAAAAATTTATTTCTAAAGGTTCAATATCACTGGAAGAAATGTTAGATGCTTACGATTTAATAAAAGAACACATCCCAACACCGATAACAAAGGACCAATTAAAAGACATTTGTAGAATGATGGATTTGAACAACGACGGGATGGTCGATTTAAACGAATTTTTAGAAGCATTTAGAATAGTTGATCCAGAACAGAAGTCCGAAGAACCAGCAGTAATCCAACCTAAAATAAATTCTCCGTTAAAAACGTTTGCGCAGATAGATAAATTTATGGATGAAACGCCGAATGTGTCTCCATCGAAAACGGATACCAATGGAGCAATAACAGGGGGCCAACAACAAACTGGGGAGGCGACTTCTACGCCTCGGAATCATTCCCTAAGAGGTGTTAATAGGTTAAAAGAGGTGTCCAAATCTAATCCGAATTCTCTTAGTACTCTTACTCAATCACCTGTTTTAAGTAGTAGAATAGTTCATTAAATTTTTTCCATAAAGATTAACTAAAATATATAAGCTAATGTTTATTTAAATTAGCGATTAATGCTGATTTAAATGAAAATATGCATATGTTAAAAAATTATAATGATGGTATTAATAAATTTGTCAATTTAATCGTCTACTATATCTGTATTAAATGTATACAAATTTCTATGATAAAAAAACGTGTTTCTATAAATTGTAACAATTTCGAAATTAAATGGGTCCAGGTTTTCTCAGTTAAATAATATATCAATAAATAAATAATAAATAAATTTCAACGTTTTTTATTTTGCTATTTGTGTAATAAGACTAATCCAAAAAAATATCAGCCAGTTTTATAAAAATTAAAAAATCCTTTATGACATACTAAAACTAGATTAATTTTAATTTAAAATTCTTCGTATATCATCATGACAATCCAATCAGTTTTTGAGATGCGATACTTGCAAAAAAAACTTCTTACTTGCTTTAAAATAATATATTTATTCGGAACCGGTTTCGACTCATCATCAGCCGAATCTACGTTAAAAAACATATCATACGACAGATATTCGCAAATAAAATAAGTAGAAAAAAGCAATATATTTATAACTTACTGTCATAGTTTATTATTAAATAATTTACATAAGCTACAGAAAAGCTTAAAGTTCTAAAAACACATACACCTCCAATTCGAAATAGTAATGGAAATTGAGCTAAGAGCAATCAAGAAAAAGTTAATTTGTTTGCTGAACATCTGAAAGAAACTTTTACATCAGACAGTCCAACAACTATGTTAAATAGTGTTCCTAGCATAATTCAAAGTGATCAGCAGAGTAATATACCATGTGTAAGAATAAAAAAACTGTATTACGAAATACAAACAGTAAATATAAAGATATCAGTAGGCTTTGACCTAATTAATGGAGAAACATTGAAACATCTACCAAAACGGGCGATTACAAAACTATTACACATAATTAATACTGCTTTTAAACAAAAATACTTCCCAAGTATATGGAAAGTTGCTGAAACAATAATGATATCAAAACCTAGTAAACCCCCCACAGATGTTACATCATATAGGCCAATCTCATTATTACCCTTACTATCAAAACTTCTTGAAAAGCTACTAGTAAAAAAAACAAATATTGTCAAATTAACATTTACGTCAAATCAAAAACAGGTTAATCAACTTGACGTAAGTTTTACTCGGATGATTTTTGTTTTGTTTGATTTATTTAATTGAAACACCTCTAGAAACTAGAAAGAATTTTGTAACATTGATATGATTTAATTTTGTATTTTAAGGATTCTCCAGATGATGCAGTTAAGTTTCTCTTAAAAACTGCGAAACCGGTAGAGAAAATATACATAAATTAATACGTTCATAAGTGCACAACATTTGTTTTATTACTCCGGACATAAAGAAAACACCCACTCTCCATATACTAGTAAAAAGACTAACACCTGGCATAGAAGAAAAAGCCCTAATACCAACACATAATAATACTACCATCAACGTATAGTCAACTATCAAAATCATATAATAATAATAATAATTGTAGCATGCTGTGCACACGACATGTAGAAATTCAAGTTCGTGTTGCTAAACAAAATGTTATTATTCATCATTCATTCAAAAATTATTATAAACACGAGTACTGTGCATATATTATTTATTAAAATATATATTTATTTATGTTGTCGACTATATATACCTCCACAATAATAATGCCTTTATTAACCTTTATCGTTCTCAAACAGTGTTTTTTTTGGAAAAATTCACACCTATAATCTTACAATTAGTGTACAAGTAACAAAAAAACAAAATACAAAAACGTAATAATAATAAAAAATAAGTATAAAGTTACAAAAACAAAATTACAACAAAATTGCAAAGGCTAACAGGGGGCCGGGTCAGACAACACCACAAAGTAGTGAGGTCTGCTCTTCCCCCAGTCCCCATGAACACAACATATTGCTTCCAAGTAAGTAGTGAAAATGAATCTTCTCATATCTTTCTGATCGATATTTTAGAGTAAAATAGGAAAACACTTATTTACCACTACATGAAATACAAGCCGGAGTTCCTCAAGGAAGTGTGCTTGGTCCAACACTGTACTTACTCTACACATTCGACCTTCCTCAGATACCAGAAACTTTAACAGCTACATTCGCAGATGACACAGCGATCTTGGCTGTTGCAGAAAATAAAGTAATTACAGCAAATAAGTTACAATTATAATTCCTTAAATCCATAGAAAACTGGACCAAACGATAGCTAAAAAAATTAAACACAAATAAATCGACATACACAAACTTTACTTATAAGAAAGGAAACTATGTCCCAGTACACATAAATGGCAATGCAGTCACTTACGCCGACACCGCAAAATATCTTGGTATGGCGCTGGATGCCAAACTCAAATGGAAAGCTCACGTCAAAAAAAGAAAACATGAGGAACTTGATATCAAATTTAGACACCTATATTGACTTATTGGCAGAAAATCAACGTTATAATAATAATAATAAATTTATTAGTGCTCTATGCCAAAGGCTTACACACGTCATTTTAAACAGAATATACAACAAAATACAGACGCATAAGCCGAGAATACAATAAAAATACATTCATACAATGACAATATCACTCCTTAAAAACTCCTCGACCGAGTACAACGCACCCGTCATCAGGAAATTTTTTATACCAGTTTTAAATTGCTTGTGTTGTCGTGCCCTAATAGACTGCGGTAACGTATTATACAAAATCTGACCAGTATACAAATGACCTTTCTGCGTTCTACTCAATCGACAAAAATCTACGCACATGTTCGTACGGTTTCTGGTAAAGTAACTGTGTTCATCATTACTATGAATATATAGCAAACATTTCAGAATAAACAATGATGGAAGCGTTAGAATATTCAAGGATTCAAAATCGAGGCGACAATCTTCCCTATGGCTAAGTTTAGCCAACACTCTCACAGCTCTGCGTTGTAAACCAAACACATAATTACTTGCTGGACTCCCACCCCAGGCAATAATACCATAGTCAA